GCGAGCTAATAGTGTACCAGGAACCAAACCCGAAACTGCCAAGGTGTTACTCTGCGCACCCGCTGGCAAAGCAGCATTTGGAATTGGAGGCCTAACCCTTCATTCGGTTTTTTCACCCCCCGTCAACCAGTTTTCCGGCGATCTTCGGCCACTAAATAGTGACACATTAAACACTATTAGGCTTATTATAATTGACGAAATTTCAATGGTTGGAGCAAAGATGTTTGCATATTTAGATTGCAGGCTAAAGCAAATTTTCAGGAGCACCGCTTACTTTGGAGGCATACCAATTATCGTGTTTGGTGACTTAAAGCAGCTGCCGCCAGTAGGAGATCGATGGATATTTGCGCCGAATAGGAAGGATCATTACAGTACAATTACAGAAACACCGCTTTGGGTTCAATTTCAGTACTTTGAGCTCGCTAAAATAATGATCCAGCGTGAAGATCAAGCATTTGCCATCGCTTTAAAAAACATGTCAGAGGGAAATATGACACACGTTGACATCCAATTAATCAAAAGCAGGGAAAAGACTGCTAATGAGGTACCGAACGAAGCCATCCATCTATTTTATTCAAATGCTAGAGTAAATGATTTCAATCTAACTAAACTGGCGAACACGATGACCGAGAAGTTCATTTCGACTGCGAAGGATACAATTAACTCAAGTTCCTTAACAGAACACAGCAGGGCAAACATTTTAGAAGCTGTGAAGTCTGTTAAGCCATCGGAAACACAAGGAATACTTTATACATTGCAGCTCAAGACTTCGATCAAATATATGGTGACAGTCAACATAAGCGATGGTCTCGTCAATGGTGCTACGGGGGAACTAAGGCAGGTTGATTCCGAATCACATAGATCTGAAAGTTCAGTGGTGCGACTATGGATAAAATTCGCAGAATCAAGAGTTGGAAGCTTTGCACGTTCCAGCAAGCCTCACAGTCGCAATGCAGATTGGATACCAATCATGAGCGTGGTCCGATCATTCCAATAGAAGAGAAATGAGCAAATAACCAAAGAACGCAGACAGTTTCCAGTCATTCCAGCTGAAGCCACCACGATACATAAAAGTCAAGGTGGAACATACACACAAGTTGCTTTTCATCTAGAGGGTAGAGTAAGCAGATCAGCTTTATATGTAGGATGTAGCAGAGCCACAAGTGCCACTGGAATATATAATATATAATCGGGACATTTTCTCTCCCGACCCAGTTGGACCGCAGGATTAAAGTAAAACTCAACTTAATAGGTTGAAGACAGAAAGAGCGTTGACGACATGCTACAGATTTTTAACTGAAACATCGGAACAACGCCTATCAGATCAGACAAGCTGATTTGTTCTGCTGATATTTTGTGCTTTGCCGAGACATGGGCCTTACCTCAAGAAGAATTCCCAATAGAAGGCTACAGTGTTATTGCACGCCTTCATGGAAAAACAAGATCATCCCGACGGCGCTCTGCCAACGGCCTTATAATATACTACAAGCAAGATAGGTGCTTATTTCTATCAGAAGGATAATTTTCAAGGAACGACACCGGTTCAATAAACGTTTACCAACTGTTAAGCGTAAACAATTCAACAGTTTCCATATCACTTGTGTACAAGAAGCCCCGCTATAGACTTCCGGAATTTAGAAACCAAGTGGAAAATATTATACGAACTGAACAGTATAATGGACCGTCAGTAGTCCTTGGTGACTTTAACATATTTCGCCTAACAGCAGCTGATGATTTGGAAGCTAGATTACAACAGTTAGGATTTCAATCTTCATTGGCTAAGGTCGCCACAACAAATCAGGAAACAGCAATAGATTGGGTAGGGACAAACATGGATTCTGCAATGACCTCATGTATAACATATGAAACACCATACAGTTATCAAGACGGAATATTTTTAAGCTTTAGAAAATAGATATATTAAATATATAGATATATGTTAGATTCAATATTATTAAATTTAAATTTGAAGTATAATATAAAGTGTAAGTCATAGATGTAATTATTGTAATTTATATATCATATAAAAAAGTATTATAGAATAATAAATATTATTATATGTTATATATTTTCTAATTTCTATAAATATTATAATTTGTTTTGTTTTCCATTAATTTAATGTGAACCATCAATCAGCTTAAAAAATTAAAATTTATGTAAATATCTGAAATATCTATTTACCTTAATAACTAACCCTAATTCAAATAGAAGATTGTTTATAGCAAAGAACCTGGCTAGAAAGAACTGGCAAATGCTTTCCGTTGGATGCAAACCCTTGGCAAGTTACGTTTTCAAATGTAGTCATACATATAGTAGTTACTAAAAAAAATGCACCTGTGAAGGGTATTATAGCTCCGGCGCAGCCGAAGATAACGTTTTCTCTTGTTTTAAAATGCCTTGGTTATATAAATTTGTTAATACTACATTAACATGAAAATTTTAATTTAGCGCAAATTAGTAAAATTGATGTTTTTGAGTATAAGTCCAAATCTAGGAAAGTCCTATTTTTTCGAAATGCATGGGTTATAATAATTTGTTAATACTGCAATAACATGAAAATTTTACTTTAGCGCAAATTAGGTAAAATTGATATTTTTCAGTATGAATCTAAATCTAAGGTCTAAATTACTGGTTATATAAATTTGTTAAAACTGCAATAACATGAAAATTTTACTTTAGCGCAAATCAGTAAAACTGATTTTTTTTGGTATAAGTCTAAATCTAAAAAAGTGCGATTTTTGTTAATGCATTGTTTACAGAAATTTGTTAATACTGCAATAACATGAAAATTTTACTTTAGCACAAGCAAGTAAAATTGATGTTTTTCAGTATAAGTCTAAATCTATTTTTTCGAAATGCACTGGTTGTATGAATTGTTTAAAACTGTAAATCATGACCAATTTACTTTACCGCACATCGGTAAAATTGATATTTTTCCGTATAAGCCTAAATCTAATAAAACTGCTATTTTTTTGAAATGCACTGGTTATATGAATTAGTTAATACTACATTAACATGAAAAGCTTACTTAAGCGCAAGCAAGTAAAATTGATGTTTTTCGGTATAAGTCTAAACCTAAATAAGTTATATTTTTAATGCACTGGTTATATAAATTTGTTAATACTGCAAGACATGAAAACTTTATTTTAGCGCAAATCACTAAAATTGATGTTTTTCGGTATAAGCCTAAATCGAAGAAGAAGTTTTTTTATCGAAATACACTGGTTATATGAACTTGTTAATACTACATTAACATGAAAATTTTACTTTAATGCAAATCTGTAAAATTTATGCTTTTCAGGATATGCCTGATTCTAAGAAAGTGCTATTTTTTCGAAATGCACTAGTTATATGAATTTGTTGGTAGTACAATAACAAGAAAAGTTTCCTTTAGCGGAAATCCGTAAAATTGATGTTTTCAGTATAAGTGTAAATCTAAGAAAGTGTTATTTCTTCGAAATGCACACGTTATATGAATTGGTTAATACTGCAATAACGTGAGTGTTATCAGTATTAACATATGCTCGCACTGCTCTATATGTACATAAGAGCTGCGAAACTATCGATATTCGGACCACTCAATAGATTCAATAATTTAAAAAAATACTATTGATAGTTTAAGTCTTTGAAATCTACTCACTTTCACTGGTTTATATTAAGAGACTTTGGCTTTGTACAATTTATTTTTATGAAATAAACTTTGGATTAATTTTCGAAACAAAACATAAACAATACGGAAAACACAAAAAAAAACTAATAAACTTCTCTGAGAGCTAACCCGTTGTAAAAAGTTACATATTTGATATATGTATTTACTAATGTAATTAGAGGTCAAGAAATTTATACTTAAATACCTTTCGGTAAAGTACTTTCCGCCTCAATTATTGACTTGTTTTTGTATAAAAAAAAAGGAACTTGTCGACTTTTGTAGTGTTCTTCTCTATAATATTAGCAATCCAGTCTGGCTAAACATTCTATTAGACTCTGGACAATTAAAATTAGTTAACATGATATTCATTTAAATGCACTGTAGGCAGAGTAATGTCTCTGGGTGTGTGTAAGTATATGCATATATTGTGAAATTCACATAATATGATTCAATTTCACAATTTTACTCTCCAAAATCAGGAGTTCTAAATAGAATGAAGGTTTTCTTCACAATTTTTATTTTTCCACGCTTCCTAATTCTTACTAAAATACTCGGTCTCGTTGAGATTATTTTAGGTGATTTTTAATAAAATTGTTATTTGTAGTATGTTAAATTTCGTCATTTATAGATATATATAACAAATTTTAAATTTTCTATAACGCAGTCACAAAGCATAATTATCAAAAAATAAATAAATATAAACTGAAAAATATTTCAAATTCATTTTCTTTTAAATTTTTGCTTGTTTTAGTTGCTTTTAACACTTTGTTTTATTCCCGCGGCGCACATACCCCTTAGCAGGAAACACAAAAACAGGAGTTGGTAGCAATTTTTTTGATTGCCACTCCCCTATTCAACCTATATAGGAGGTTGGTTTCTCTATTTAAAGTGCACATGTGCGGCTACCGGAATCAATTAGTTTGCGTCATCTAGTTCACCCTATTTAGGCGCTAATGGCCGCCAAAGGGTAAATTGTAGAATTGCAAAGTGTATTTTGGTCAATCTGGTCAAGTGGTATTAGGCGGGTGGTTGATGATGCCATGGAAGCCCTGAGTGTCTTCTAGACGCTGATTTATGTGGCCCAACGACCAGCACACTAATAATGCATGGTATCACTGAGCGTTTAGTAAAGCCAGCTTATGCAAAAAAATTTAGAGAATGCATATGACTAATAAGGTAAACGACAATATCTGCTGCTGGCACCATTGACAAGAGTGGAGCAGCCAAGTGCCGGCAGAGCTACGAATGTTTATCTGAGCAGTGCAAAGTAATGTGGGCAAAGCAGCACGACATTGCGCAACGATGACTTGTTAGAGTATGCAGCGTTTTGCTTGCTTTTTTTAAGAGATTATAATAACCAAAGTAAAACCCGTACAATATTTCCATCGACCGACCGAATAAGAGCATCACATCAATATTTTTCCTCATTCGATACGACAGCTCCGCGCGCAGCTATTTCGATCGACATCGTTCCGTATTTAAAACTCTTCTTTTATAATTAATTATATATGAAAATATAATATATTATATAAGATTACCATTTATATGAATTATAATAATGGATGTCAACAATAAACTTTTGCGTACTTATACGAAGCATATCGCCTTTTATTTAAAGTATTCACGCGATTTTAAACATTTATTTACTACTCGTATTGAGACGAAATTTGAATTATGCTTATATCTTATAGCAGAAACTTAAAATTTTGTACATATATATATGAAATAGGGGCGTAATCAATAACAATTTTGAATATTTTGATGATACGTTGTTTTGCATTTATAATAAAGTAAGGTTTGTATTATTACCTTAATATTATATTTAATTAATGTATAATATATATATGTTTTAATAATAATATATTTATGTACGAGGTCTGTTCAAAAATTATCGTGAATTTTGTATTTCTTAAAAAAATTTTTATTTATTCATAAATATCTATTTTGTCCCCTTTAAGACCAAGCAGTCCTCCATTTATACATATATAATTATGTGTGAGTGTAAACAAATATGAAAGAACGCATAATGCTTGTCTACCTGCAACATATGTATGTAAATATGTACACTCATTGCTTCATGTGAAATCTCCATTGGCACGGACAACCAATGCTTTGCGAGGTTGTCACTTTTTCCTTTCAGAAAGAAAATAAAAATGTTTTTCAATTTATGATTTCTAGTTTTAGCAATCGTCGCGAAAAAACTCTTGTTGGCAAACGCATGCTAGGGCATGTTATGGTATCTGCTTTTATGAATGAATCCACTTTGCTTGCGCTTGCGCTCATGTATGGAAATGTTGTTGTTGTGTGTTTTACTATAAATTTTGGCTTCGGCTATTTGGCTGCCTAATTGACTTGTGACGCTACATATGCTATTTGAAGCGATTGTTGCTTTTTTAGAACAATGTTTGAAGTTTTTTGTGGAGACATACTTACATGTGCACGAATATTAGTATAAGTATAATATGTAAGTTTAAACATGCATATGCCAATCGATGGCACTATCGACAATATCGATAGTTTTATTTTCGTCTAATTATCGCTGGTTTATTTTGACTATCGATGGTTTATTCCCTAGCTAGACTATCAATAATTTTCAAAAAATTTGTAAACTTCATATAGCTACATAATGATGTAGTCTGGTAATACCAGATGTGAAGTATTTAAGTTTTGAATAACATCCTAGCAAGTACATACACACCGTCCAACTCATAAGCCCAATGCTTAAAAAAGAGATGAACGATCGCACTTATACAAAAAGTTCAGTTATAATTGTGAATTAGGCCTTAAAAACTTGTAGAAACCTTAATAGAAATCTCTGAGAGCGCTGTTGGGTAATTAACCGGTAATTTAACCGATAGGCTAGCAGGGACATTGTATAAATTATTATAAACATATAAGTAAACAAAATAAATATTTTTTTTGTTTAATAATGATCAGGAATACAGCTACAAAATTCGGCAAAATGCATCAGGCCACCTTTACCGCTACCCACTACAAGAATGTCAAACTACAATAAAAGGAATTTAATGACGCTACTAGCACGACACTAACAGTTTGCGTCGATGCTTACGTCTCCCGCTGCCGTCGCCAAAAATATTAAGTTGGTGATTATTATAAGCTTAGATATATAAGATAAGAGTATAGGCAAAATATTGGTGAGCTAGACAAAGTTTCTGATGTAGTTCGCAGCCTTAGAGGATTTTCGGAGAACCCAATAAATATAGTTTTGGGAAGAAGAGCGTTAATCGAATTGTAATATTACCTTATCACCTTACCTTACCTTATCAGAGGAACACCCAAATATTTTGGTGTTACAAATACTATAAGAAATAAAATATCTGGAACTGCTGATAATGTCTTGTCATTGGAAAAAGGCTTAACAAAAACCCTTCACCACATTTCACCTATATTTCATACCCCGGTATGCCAGCTTAATACATTCAGGCGACTCACCCATCTTTTATTTAAACAAAACGATATCAACATAAAATTCTTTTTATTGTCATCTCTTAAATCCTTCGATGGAATATTAGGGAATGACAGTCTGAAGGAACTATCCGCCATCATTCACACGAACGAAAATTATATGCTTATTTCCAATAACTACAAAATCAAAATTAAGCTACAACCTGCAAATTCCTTAAGAAATATTGGCCCCAGAACAGAGCACATGGCTAAACCAGAAAAACTTCATATTGAAAAATTAATGAGACAATACGCGACTTTATTTGCTGACCCAGACGAAAAGCTTACATTCACAACTATTGTAAATGGCGAAATTAGAACTACTACCAAAAGGCCAATATATTCAGCATACTACCCATATCCCATTTTCTAAAAGATGAAATTGAAAAACAAATACAGGAACTTCTTGATAAGAACATAATTCGACCTTCACGCTCTCCTTACAACTCTCCGGTATGAAAAGTACCGAAGAAAATTGACGCTTCAGGAAAGAAAAAATATCGTATCGTTATTGATTAAGTCAAACTTAATACCCTTACTATCCCTGATCGGTATCCCAAACCCGACATAGTTAACGTTCTTTCAGAACTAGGATAAAGTAAATTATTTTCATATTCATTTCAGGGACCCTCAGTAAAAACGAGGAGGCATATGCCACAAACGAAAGAGAAATGTTAGCTATAATTTGGGCTCTGAAATGCCTTCGAAACTAAATGTACGGGAGTGCTAAAGTAAAGATTTTTACAGACCATCAGCAAATAACATACGTCTTATCTAATAAGAACTCTAATTTTAAAATGAAGCGATTGAAAGCAATTTTGGAAGAATACCATTAGAATAACTACGAATAAAATTGCAGATGCTTTATCTCTCAATTCCCTTATCAACTCTATAATAGCGACACAAAACACCGACGAAAGCTCCTCACAGAATTTAATACCATTTACCAATGTACTTACGCTTAATGAATTCAAAAACCAAATCATTCTCAATGTAGGAAATAGCACTGACTATAAGTTCGAAATTCCCTTCCCACCCATCATCGTCACACGGTAACCGATGTAACTTTCGACGAAGAAAAATTAGACAACATCCTTAAATCATATTTGAACCCATCGGTCGTTAATTATTTCATAACAGATGAAAGAACACTAGGTATATTACAAAAGATTTATTTTGAAATTATTAACGAACACAATCGTTCCACCGAAATAGCGAAAAAAACAAGATGCAAATTCTAGAAAAGTTCTATTTGCCTCAAATGTGAGCCAAGGTTGAAAAAATCGTAAAACAATGCAGAATATGTAAGCTTAATAAATATGACCCTCAACCTTCTAAACACGCAATTCAAATTATACCAATACCTGAGTACCATGGACACATTGTCCACATCGATATCTACCACACTAACAAACAGCTCATTCTTACCGCCATAGGTAAATTTTCGAAATACGCTCTTATAAAACTAATTAAATCACGAGCGGCCGAGGATTTGAAGCAACCTCTTAGAGACGTTATAATTTAATTATTAATACCAAAAGTGATTATATTCGACAATGAAGAATCATTTAATTCCAGTCTAATCATATTCACGCTGATTAATCAGTTCAATATAGAGATTCACAAAACTCCAGCCCTACAAAAGTGGTTCAAACGGTCAAGTTGAGAGATTTCACTCCACTCTTACCGAAACAATATGTTGGCTTAAATCAGAAAATACGTATGAATCGCTTGTGGAACTCCTAGATAAATCAATTTTTGAGTACAACTCAATCCATTCTACAACCGGTATGAAGCTTCTCGAGCTCTTCTTTAGCCACAGAACAATAATTGATCCCGAACAAATAGAAGCAAATAGTCAAGAAAACGTTAAGAAGCTACGAACTTTAACAGTCCTCACCAAATCGTTCATACAAATTTAATTAAAACCTGCTCTAATAAAATGTTCATAACATTACGAAAATTATAAAAAGAATATGCTTTAAAATTAGAAAAAGACATTAAAAAAAAATGAATTTAACCATGTTTTCAAAAACAAAAAAGGTTATAATTGAAACGGAAAGAGAAAATTGCTAAAAATAGTTAAAACCAATATTGTAACTTCGAATACCTTAAAAAATTAAGAAACATTTAGAGTAAGTGTGGGTTTACATTGGGACCCTCATTATTGGCAAATTCTCTTTTGGTGTCGCTCTGTGCATTCACACGTACAAAAAGAGTCCAGCAACTCGAATCGAGTTTACTGTCATTCCCTTTCATAAAATTTTCGCAAATATTTGTGCGGTTCGACTGCGCAACACTTAGAGCGTGTTGCATAGTTCATAGTATATTTGTATGTTGAAGCGAGCGGTTAATAATTTTTTTTCGAAAAGGTCTGTGTGAATTCATATTTATTAAAAAAGAGGTAAGAAATTTAAATTAAGATTCGAAAGTTTTGTATTTTATGCATATTAATTCTTCGATTTATTTAAACAGATATGACGGATAAAATAAAATGGTCAAAAGACCAAATTGAAAAGTTGATACAATTGGTAGAATCTAACGAATGTATTTACAATGTAAGATCTTCGATGTATTTGGATCGAAATGCCAAAGCTCAGGCTTTCCAAAAAATTATGCCAAGATTTAGAAATGCCGAATTTAAATGTTTTTGACGTAAAAAAAATGGAAAACCGTAAGGTCGCAATGTTTGCGAGAAATTCGCGAACTCCGCACTTTCAAAATAAGCGGATCTGGAGGGATGACAATTTTACACCAAATTGTGGTGCTTCTAGTAAGCGGAGAATAAAAGTAAAAAGTAATACTTTTAATTAATTTTATTTATCTCATATTTGTATTAATACAAACAAATATAATATTATACTATTATACAGGATTCTAGTTCGTTGATTTCTATTTCCGAATTTGATTCATTAAGTCGACCCACACGACTTCGGCAGAAGTTATTAGTTCTAGTAAGTAAATTTATTATGTTTAAGTAACAGAAATGAGCTAAAATATATTTTTATGTCCATTCATAGACCATTAATAGCAGCTATAGAAAAGAAGCAAGAAGAAATCGAGCAAAATAAAATGCATTCCAAAAACTTAAGAAAGACGTATCTACCAGTAATTACTAAAATGGAGGAGATAATTCGCGAACTACAAGAAGATACTGCATGGGTGGTACAGTGCCTTATGCGACGATTAGTAAAACAATCAAAGAGTGTATCGTCTTCACGCGCCCCTCCCTCTGATATTCTCCAGAATGCCATGAGTGGTGTTTTTGACGAAAGGGATTTCGTTCTTTAAAAAATGTGATAAAGTTAAATAGTCTGAAATTTAAATTTTCCATATTATGTATATAGTTTAGTTGAAGAACAAATTTGATGAATTTAAATAGTCTGAAATATTAATTTTACACAATGTATACAGTATAGGTATAATATATATTTACTAGAAAGAATATTTTTACCTAAAAATTTGAAGCATTTAAAAAAAGCATAAGTCCAAATGAATTAATCTTAATAAATAAATATATTGTGACATGAAATAAAATTTGAAACAAACCTTTTCATTTCTATTAAACCCTAAAAAAGGTTCATAAGGCTTTAATTATATTATACATAAAGAAAAGAGCGGTTTTTGTAAGTATCGCCCCCTTCCAGTTATTTCCGAGAAAAGTTGGTATGGTGGTCTCACATTTTGCTACCTAACTTGTGAGGGGAATTTCCTAATCCATCGGATTGTATTGCATACCCGCTATTCAAATTTTCAAGAACAAAGGTGTTAACGATTAACATTATTATGTTTGAATGAAAGAGTACTTTTTTTTATTTCTTACAATACATTCAAAAATTAATTAAATTTCTTTCCTTAAATAAAAGTACATTCGAATTAAACTGTTTGCAATTAAAAGAAATAAATATTAACGCATATTGATATTTTTATGTAAATATAAAAAAGTAAAAATAACTGCATTTTTATTAAAATTCAATTATGATATTACATTGAATACTACTAAACAACAATCACAGCTCCCAATAAACTTTTCCTTCGTTGTTAAAATATGCCATGAATTCTTGTCGAATAGCTTCTGCTCCTCCTCTCCGCGGATTTTTGTTACTACCAGTAGCTTCCGGAAATCCATAGGTTGCAGAACTCAATGAGTTTAACCCACTGTTATTGTTCGTTCCCAAAAAGTTGTGCAGAACACAGCAAGCTAGTGTAATTTTATGCGAGAGTATAAAATGTTCGGTTACACCCGGACTTAGAACTTTCTTACTTGTTTTCTAATAGTTAAAATATCATAAGCAATAAATCATGTATACCTATTTAATTGCGCAGAAGCGAATAAATAGCACCTAGAATCAATTTAAGGAATGAAGCCATGATGATGACACTATGTCGCTCAATGGAACATTTTTATAAATAAAAGCTTACTGTACGAAATAAGAGTCTAGAGCTTAGTCATAGTACTCCTTACGTTTGGTTAGGTTAGGTTAGGAGGTCGATCCCAAGAAGGGATCCCACTTGGACAGCTTAAGACGCCGGTCCATTGTGATACCTACAAACTCCTATAATCTTGATCAAAAGACCCTTACAAGTCGACGAGACGCATTGTGCTGACTACAAACTTGTTAAGACGGCCAATATCCATTTCGGATAAGTATTCGGGTCCGCCAAACCTGTGATTGCCGAGATATTTCAATCGCAGCCTAGCGAAAGCCGGACATTGGAGGAGAAAGTGCCGGGATGATTTCCCTCGCCCTCCTCCATGCAACTTTGGCAACTAGCATCGGGTAATACACCAAGTCGTATCGCATGAGTGCCCATTGGACAGTGTCCAGTGAGAACTCCTACCATAGCGGCGAGATGCACTTTGCTCAGGGCGAGAAGTTCCCCCGACCTCCTGCGATCCACTCTTGGCCAGAAGGATCTCGCGGTCACACAAGAACTAGTCGTCGACCAGCGTCTGCTGAGTGCACGCGAGGTCCATTGATCCAACGTTAGAGCGCAAGACGCTAACGTAGATCCAAACCGATCCCATTCCGATGTGAGCGGGGCAAAGGTGCCCCCCCTGGCTAGCTCATCGGCTTTGCAGTTTCCAGAGATTCCGCAGTGACCAGGCACCCAGACGAGCCTGATGTTGAAATAGCCAGACGCTATCTCTAAAGAGAACAGACACTCCTTGACTAGCTTTGATTGCACGGTACGCGCGCTCAAAGCTAGTATTGCCGCCCTGCTATCAGAGTGGATGCTCATTTCTACAAACGAGGCTGCACTACGCAGCAGTACTTCTAGCGCCACCTTGATAGCAGCCACTTCCGCCTGAAAAACACTACAGTGCTCCGGTAGCCTGAAGCTAAGACTGACGAAGAGCTCCTTGCAGAAAACCCCCCCTCCAACCTTCCCCCCTAGCCTCGATCCATCCGTGAAAAAGCTCACCGCGCCTCTTCTCCAGCGGCTTCTTCCCATCCACATGTCCCTCGTTGGAATATGATCGGAGAAGGAACCGCCTCGAGTGGCTTCAGTGACGCAGTGATCTATATTTTCTGGGATGCCGCTGAAGGAGGAAAGAATTTCAGAGTGCCCTTGTTCGGACCTCTTCAAATGCCTAGCTTCCCTGAGCCTTAGAGCACACTTCGCGGCAATGCACCTACCGGCAATGTCCACAGGTGCTATGTTTAGAATAGCATTAAGAGCTAGTGTCGGTGTGGTTCGCAGTGCACCGGAGATTTCGATGAGCGCCGCTCTTTGGACCCTTTCAAGCTTTTTAGCCATTGTGGATCTTTCTAGCGCCCTCCACCAGACGAACCCACCATAGAACATTATTGGCTTAACTACGGTTTCGTAGAGCCAGAACACCACCTTAGGTGATAGTCCCCACCTTTTCCCTATAGCCCCTTTGCAGCAGTATAAGGCGACCGAAGCCTTCTTAACTCTCTCCTCAATATTTGGCCTCCAGGAAAGTTTTCTATCGAGGATGAGCCTTAGGTATTTCACTTTCTCAGTAGGTTGAAGAAGTGAACCCCCGAAGGAGGGGAGAGGCGCATTTGGTATCTTATACCTCCTGGTAAATAGATCCATTTCGGTTTTACTTGGGTTGACGGCTAGGCCGCTTCTATTCGCCCAGCTAGATACCACATTCAGGTACCCCTCGGTGAGTTCGTAGACGGTATTCAGGAACTTTCCCTTAACCATAATAATCACATCATCAGCGTATGCTGTCACCCGACAGCCTTGCGTCTCGTGTTCTATAAGTAGGTCGTTAACCACCATTATCCAGAGCAGTGGGGAGAGTACTCCCCCCTGCGGAGTTCCCCTATTCACTTTTCTAGTAGTCTTGGCACCACCCCACTCCGCTGCGACAGTTTTGTCGCAAAGAAGACTAAAAATAAGGTGCTTGAGGTTAGATTCCACCTCAAACTTTTCGAGGGCTTTAACCACTGCCTCTGGTCGCACATTGTTGAAGGCCCCCTCGATGTCGAGGAAGGTGCCCACAGCAAATTCCTTGTGCTTGAGAGCTATTTCCAGCCATGACACTACATCATGCAAAGCAGTGTCGACCGACCTGCCTTTGATATATGCATGTTGCGCCCGTAACAGTTTACCCCTCGGTATTCTGCTCCTAATGTACAGATCCATAAGCCTCTCTAATGTTTTCAACAGAAACGAGGATAGGCTGATGGGTCTGAAATCTTTTTCACCGACGTGAGAGCTTTTGCCGGCCTTCGGAATGAAAGTAACCTTAACCTGTCTTCAGACTTTCGGGACATGGCCTAATCTGACACAGTTCGCGTAGATGGGGGCCAGCCAACTCAATGACATCTTAATCGTACGCTGTAATTGCGCTGGAATAATGCCATCGGGCCCCGGGGCCTTAAAGGGTTTGAAGGATTTCAACGCCCAAGTAAGGTGACGATCGTCCAGAAGGTCCAAGAAGGCTTTACAGCCCTCCTGCAGCTCCCCCAGTGAAATGAGCATCCAGGAGTAGTTTCAACGACTCCTCGCTACTCGTTGTCCAACTACTATCTGCATTTTTTAGATACCCCACTGGAGTAGAATTTTTTGCAAGAATGCGCCTGAATCGTGAGGACTCATGACAGCCCTCTTAACTACCGCAGAAGGCTCTCCACGAAACTCTCTTGGCTTTCTTCAACTCGGACTTGTAGATGGCCAGTCCGGCCTTGTACAACGCCCAGTCGTCACTAGAGCCGCTTTTACGGGCTTTTTCGAAAAGTCTTCTGCTCGAAGATCTGATCTCCGTTAGCTCCGAAGTTCACCAAGGGGGTTTCCCTTTGATTTTCTGAGTTCTCAGAGGACAGGAGCTCTCAAGAGTAGTTCTACTAACAGAGCTGAAAATCTCTACGAGCTCATCGACCGCATCCGCCGATAGGATTGAATCCCTGTCGGGTGCGGGTGGAAGAGCTGATCGAAGCTTCCTGCAGACAGGACCCAGTTGGTATTCCTAAAATTTCTATAGTTTTTGAGCTCCGGGCGTGAGGCTTTTAAGCTGAACCCAATATATTTATGATCCGAGAATGAATGGTCGTCTAGAACCCTCCATTCCGAAATCAAGGGAGCGATTTCCCTAGAGGCTAGCGTAACGTCAAGGACTTCCGCCCTGCTAGCAGTCACAAAAGTAGGGCTGTTCCCCCTATTACATATAGAAAGATCTACACTACAAATAAAATCAAAAAGTGAATCACCTCTTTCGTTAAGGTCCGAGCTCCCCCAGACGGTGTGCCTTGAGTTAGCATCCGAGGCTATTAAGACTCCGGCCCCTTTGCGCCTGGCCTCTGCCAGAGCTCTCCTCAGCAGGTACGGATGTGGCTCCACCTCGTCGTCGTGCGGCATGTAGGCTGAGACAAGCCAGAGTTCTCCAGCGCTGTCCTCCAGTCTAGCAGCGACGACATCCTCGTTACTGAAATTATGTAAAAGAAAAACGTTAAGTTCGTTTCTGATCAACAAGCAGGCTCTGGTTCTACCTGTACTGTTTGCCACCAGGAGCTTGTGGCTCTTTGTCCTTAGACCAGTGATACCGTTTCTGCTCAGCCACGGTTCCTGGATAAGGACAACGTCTGCTTCGTCCCGTCCTAGACGAAGCACTAGTTCGGCGGAGGCCGCCTTTGAGTGCTGGAGGTTAATTTGGAAGATCCTCATCCTCCAAACTCCTCTCCAGCAGTGCGAGTTCCGCACCATCATCCGCACTATCGACCCCAGCAGCCTCGAACAGGCGGTCGAGATTGAAGACGGATCCATCATCGCCTGACGATCCGCCCCCGTGCTCACCGTATCCGAGAGGATGAGGTCGATGTCCATTTTAGAGTGGGTCGCTCTCCCACTCTCTTTCACCTCAGCTGGTAACAACGGGCCATCAGCCCTGGCTTCAGTTGGGAGAATCCTAAGGACGACACTCTCGAAGCCATAGCTTATGGCCCCCTTTGCAATGCTGAGAGGAGCGAGGGACTCTTTGTTTAGGAGTATCTGCGCTCGCCGATATGGTTCCTCGGTCCTCTCCAGCCTAACCACCTTCCAGTTTTGGGTGGGAAGAGATGGATTGCAGTACCGCAATATCTCTTCAATTTCGGACGGGGTAGAGGGTTCGGCAGGAAGCCAGACACGAGCACGAGGTCGCATCGGAAGATCCGATTTGGCCACCGCCTCGAGCCTTGCTCCCTTCCATACTTCCCCCACCCTGGCTACCGCCTCCTTATAAAGGAATGCCGACCGTTCGTCGGCACACCTTATAAGTTTGTATAATCCGAGATTCCACCCGGCACTTTCACATCTAGGGGGTGGTCCAGGGTGGTCCTTCGCTACCCGCTTCCACTCTTCATGGGAGATGGCTCCATCTCCCCTGCTGCTATCGTATACCCCGAGCTCAATTGAGCAGGCGAGCTTACCGATTTCGCTAAACATCGGTGCCGCTCCGACTCGAGGCTTCTTGCCGAGGGAGGATTCCCCCTCCTGCGACCTCTGTCGCTTCATCGAGGTGTGGGGTTCGCTCGGCCCCACTTTCCCGTCATTGACGTCGCTTAGCACCCTTTTGGCCCACTCAAGTGTGCTAGCATGCTGACCAGATTTCTGGTCAGTCTGCTTGCCACCGTAACGCTCCAAAATCTTGGTAGCCAGCCGACGGTCAGACTTCAGCTTTTTAGCTGTAGTCAGGCGATTCCCCCATGTACTTAACAGAGGTTCCTCTGCTAGTGCTGGCGATTCCGCCGCGCACTTCTGCCCTGCCTAAGGTGTCAGTCGGCAGATTCCTGCCCACTCCCCCCGCGTTACCGCCTCTGGAGATGGTAAGCCTTTTACCCCCGGAATTTTTCTTCTCACCCTTAGGCGGAGACGGTTTCGTCCCCATCGGTAAGGATGCCCCCCCTAAGGGAACTGTCCACTTTTGAAGAGGTCGGTTTCGACCCGCTTCCTCCCTCGTCCTTGGTTATATTGTTGTTAGTGTTCATTGTGATTGGGTCCCCACTCAGAGCCGCTATCCGTCTCTTGGAAAGGTAGTCGCCTTTAAATGGTCCCAAGGTTGTCTCGGTTACGAGACCAAGGTGAGGGTTGACGCACGCCCTTATGAGGCAGTGCGTTCAGAGCCGACCAGCGCAAAGAAGGAGTCATCTCAACAAACACCTACCACATCTGAGGCCTGCCATGGTTTTAACGGGACGGAGGCGGCCTTGGCATTAGCCCATCAGCCATTTCTGCAGGGTGTCACCCCTACATACTCAGGTGACAGGATACCACGACCACCAGTTCAGGGTTCAAACCGATCCATCTAAGAGTTCAAGCTAAGTCCGTGTCGACCAAAGGTCAAATCCGTAGGAGTTATACGTATACGTTAAACTCTCCCAAATAAAACTTTTCAAGCACTTGGCTTTCGAACGCAAACGTTCGATACTAAGAAGGAATCTATTCAACTTGGGATTAGCCTCTTCTGCAAACTGTCGGTTCTGTGACATGGAACCGGAAACCCCAGAACACTTGCTAGGGGACTGCACAGCAGTCTGCTGACACAGAATTAAAGCCAAACAGGGATCGCATCGCTTCACTAGCACCTACCAGTATATTGGAGTTCATCAATATGCTGGCGCTAGATGAGTCGTGGTGACTCCACTTCAATCTATCTAGTAATATAATGACGCACGACACTAGCAGTGTGCATCGCTGCTGAGGCCTCGCGCTGCCATCGCAAAAAATATTAAGTTGGTGATTATTATAAGCTTACAATTAAGTTTCACTTTTAATTCGGCTGTTAATTGCATAACTGCTTTACTGAAGAATAATAAAAAATTTTATTTTGAATCAACAGGAAAAAAACGTTAACTTGGGTTGCACTGAAGCTATAATACCCTTCACAGAACTTGATTCCGATCGTTCAATTTGGAAGGCAGCTATATGATATAGTTATCTTATCTGAACAATTTCTTCGGAGATTGCATTATTGCCTTAGATAATAACCCACGCCAAATTTCGGGAAGATATCACGTCAAATGAAAAAGTTTTCCATGCAAGCACTTTCCGATGTATGGCAGCTATATGCTATAGTGGTCCGATACCGGCCCATCCCCCAAATAAGCAGCTTCTTAGTGAAGAAAGGATAGGTGCAAAATTTTGGATCGATAGCTTAAAAACTGAGGGACCAATTCCCGTATATACAGACGGACGGACAGACAGACGGACATGGCTATATCAACTCAGCTCATCTTGCTGATCATTTATGTACACTAGGTAGAAAAAGTCACTGGGTATAAAATCTTTTGAGCTGAAATAAAAGTTTGACCAATTAAGAATTTCTTTTTCGTATTAAATCATATCTTTTCGCTTAAAAAAATTTACTCTTATTTTCAAATTATTCAATAAACAAAAGCCACAGAGTTCATTTTCATTTTATAAACAAATAACTTAAACAGAAAAAGTCTCCGCTCATCAACCGGAATACAATAATATCAAGTAAATATTATATAAAAAGTTTAATAGCTGGTGGGGTGGCCTCGAAATTTTAGAGCTTCTGCTAGACGTTTAGGCATGGAATGTACTAATTTTCTCGTATCTTGGGCTGACATTTTACTCCATTCGTCCAATATAACGGTATTGAGCATTTCTTTGCTGGTAATCGTATGTGTGCCAATTCTGCGCTCCAATAGAGCCCATAAATGCTCAATTGGATTGAAGTCAGGTGATTTTGGAGGTGAATGTAGCTGTTTTGTAGCATTGTAAAGAAGCCAAAGGCGAACAAGTTCTGCTATATGCTTAGGGTCATTGTCCTGTTGGAAACAAAACACGTTTGGAAATCCTAATTTGGCAGCACTTTGCTTCATTTATCGTTTTAAAATATTTAGATAAACAAATTTATTTTTTTTCTTCATAAACTCAATGCCACCAACTCCACTTGCTGCCATACACCCCCTCAATTGAACTCCACCCCCACCATGCTTTACGGTTGAAGTAAGATTTCGCGCTTCAAAGGCCGTACCAGTTTTTCGCCACACCATGCGTTTCTTTTTTTCCAAATATCCTATATTTGGTCTTATTCGACCATACAACTGATTCCCAGAAAGATATAGGCTTGGTTGTATGTTCGTTTGCGAATGCAATGCGCTAAATGCGGTTTTTTAAGGAAATGAATGGCTTTTTGCGTGCCACTCGCCCATGACATCCAACAATTTTTAATATTTTTCTTGCTATGTCGCTGCATATTCTTTTTTTAAATCGTATTTTTACAACGCACAATAAACTAATGTTATAAGCAATGAGCGGATACTTTATCTGCTTATTCTCCTTTAGTAGAATTCAAAAAATGCCGTTAACTTTACAAGCGCACATAGGAATTACATGAAATTTGGCGACTGTAATGCTACTAGCATACGCATCTGATATTCTGAAAAGAACTTCAAAAACGCATATATATTATTAATATTTTTATTGAAACACATTCCACGGATTGGTGAGCGGAGACTTTTTCTACCTAGCGTATGTATATATTTTATAGGATCTAAGACGCTTCCTTCTGGGTGTTACAAACGTCGTGGCAAACTTAATATACCCTGTTCATGGTATAAAAATGAGTTAACTTATATTATGAATATATCTGGATGCGTTAGAAGAAATGTTGTGGATATATTTACAATTACCTGGACGTTACGCCACATTTTTCCTGTATTTTAATAAGAATTAAGAACCGTGAATAAAAATTGCTAAGAAACCTTCCTTCCTTTTATTAAGGACTTCTGATTTTGGAGAATAAAATTATGAAATTGAATCATATTATAGGAATTTCACATTATATGCATATACTTACATACTCATACATACACCCAGAGGCATTATAATTAATTTTTCTTTTACAGAGTCTAGGAGAATATTTAGCCAGACTGGATTGCTAATATAATAGAGGAAAACTGCATTAAACACTACAAACGTTAACAAATTATAAAAAAACAAGTGGATATTTGAGGCGGAAAGTACTTGACCGAAACGTATTAAATATAAATTTCTTGACCTCTTGTTACATTAGTAAACATATATCAAAAATTTACCTTTTTATAACGCGTTTGCTCTCAGAACAGTTTATATAGTAACATGAAAAGTTTTATATGTAACTTAATTATTTTTTTTAGTGTTTTCCATATTTTTCATGGTTTGTTTTGTAAATAAATCCAAAAATTGTTTAAAAACATTAAGTGAACAAAGCCAAAGTCTCTTTATTTAAACCAGTGAAAATGAGTAGATTTCAAGCGGAAAAATTATTGGCATTACCGATAGTATTTTTTCAAACTATCGGTGTGCGCGCATATGTAAATACTGATAAGTGATAATATAGTGATTTGAAGACGTGAAGATGTAAATATGATATATTAAAGGTGGGATTTATATAAATTGGTATGTTATGTTTATAGTATGCCCATAGCCTATATACATCCATATTAATGTATATTGTACTATCAAACATAAGAAATATTTAAAAAGCAGGTACTTTTTTCACACTGACTACAAATATTTCTTTAAAATAGAATCTTTGAATTAAAATGTAGTCAATTATGCATGCTATGATAGATATTCACATAAGGAATTTCATATCAATATATGTATGTGATTGCATACAAACGTATAAAAATATAAGCAAAAGGTTTCGTCTAAAGATATTCCTTATGAGAACTGCTGGATTGTGAAGCAAACAAAATTCTAGTTAGAGTTATTGGAACTAGCAATATAGACATATGTATTAGCCATTAAATTGGGAGTTTAATCTAACAATCCAGGGATTGAACTCAAGAGTGAGTTACAAGGTAAACGAATTATCGAGATATCCGTTACAATATTGTGAAATGGATCGCGTTCCATCAATAATGCTGGCTACTCATTTAAGAAATATTGCGATACTGGATCACGTACAATAAATATTGAACGTGTAGTTAATGCCTTACTCCGAAAATAAAGTAGTTGTGAAATTCCAGGAAATATATATCTTTATTTTATTGCGTTAAAGTTACCGTAATAATGTACTGGATAGTAAATATTGTGGCAAATCAAAAATATTGTGGCGAGAATTTTAAAATTGGTAAATTTTTTAGCCAACAAACGGGGAAAGCTATTCATAGCCATAGTCCCAACAACCTCGAGAAACGTTTTTTGGTGTGGAGCGGGAAATATAAGGCCGTTGAAGAAGTACCATCCCACGTTAGGTAAGAACATACATATGTATATAGCTGTGAAGGGCAAATAATTTATAATGGAGAAAATGGCTGAGACTTAGAATAGCTTTCCACGAAATCGGCGTTCAAATGGGTATGTACGGATAGCGGACGTTTTCCAGCTTAAGAAAATATATATGTACACTCCGCAGAAAAATACTGCGTACACGCTTTTGTTTTATTTTCTTTTATTACAAAATATCTTTTATTTACTAAATTTCAGATTAAAATCACACTAAGAGCTTTATTAGTTATTGCATAATCTCATAGAATATAAAGCAGTAAAATCTGACCATAGTTTTATCGATAAAATTACATAAAATTGCATTTTCGCAGCGCAGAAAAGTCTGCGTAAAAGTAGTAAATTGGGAATTCTTTCCGTTAAAACCAAGAGTAAAAGTGTGGGAAATATATAGATTTACTTGTTTTTGTAAAAGTAGCAATTTTAAACGATTTTTGTTTTATTCAGTTTGTTATTAAATTTAGAACATCGAATCTCGCCTTAAAGAAAACAAAGGGATTCTCTGAAAGGTAAATAATGGTTAAAACTTTGAAGAAAAACATACAGTGAAATCGGTCAAATTGTTGGAAGAACATATTCTTCCATAAAAAGAATAATAAAAAAAAACAAAAATACCTGCTTTTTATATCTCGGCCCATCCAGGGCGTCTAAAAATACAAGCATAGTGTGAAATACGTAACCATGAGACAGAAAATATGAAGCAAAACCTCGGACTTACTGCAACCGTTCCCACATCAATCGGGTCTACGTAACCGGAAATCCAGGTATTCATTCATATCGTCAGGCAATAGGCAAGTGTATAAAGCTTTCGCGAAATAGCGATATTTTATCTAATTAAAACAAGTTTTGGGAAAACTTTAGTTTAGCATCCCACGATTTCAGGGTTAAGAGGGGTATGGTTGGATAGAGGAGATTCTCCAGATCTCGAATATATATAATTTTTGCCGCCGGAAACTTATAGTTTTCGAGATATTTGCATTTTAAGTTGAAATATTGACAAATTTCATTTTACAATTTCTCGATTTATGGTTATCTTTTCTTTTATATTATGCACTTATTACACACTAACACTTCAATACAATGTTTCTATATATTGATTTTATATTAAATATTTTAGTATTTGTTTTAAATAAGCATTTAATTTTTACACAATTTTCGTAATATGAACCATAACAAATGGGTTCCATGTTGTCAGATAATAAGTGTTGCCATATCCAAACGGATGAAAGCAATGAAAATAAATAAAAAACCCAATCACCCTCTACAAAATATTATGAACTTAATTTTCCTTTTAATAAAAGAAAAAGGTTTTATGGCTTAAACGTATGTTTTATTGCATCTGATAATTTCACAAATGGATCATGATGCTGATTTACTATATTTTTACGCCATATGTATTCATATATCAAATTTTCAAAATCTTCACTGTTATTATAATTATCCTTAATGAAAATTGAAGTTTATAGAGAGTGATATATTCTGTTGTTGTTATAACGATTATCTAATCCCCGTTTGGGTGATAAATTCTAGATTCTTTGTCGTCGAGGTCATCTAACGGAAGGCCCAGGAAACGAGCTGTTTCGACGGGGTCGGACCATAGGGAAAGGGGTGTTAGATGAGTGGGGTTTGTAGGGCATGCAAAGAGGTGGTTAGTGTCATGCGGAGACTCATTGCATGCAGGACATGTGTTTAGTATGTCGGGGTCTATTCTGGATAGGTAGGAGTTTAACCTGCTACAGTATCCAGAACGAAGTTGCGCGAGGGTCACTCTAGATTCGCGAGGCAACTCGAGCTCTGTGTCTGCAATGGGTGGTGGTTTGACTCGTATTACGCCATTCACTGAAAGGGAGTCGGTGAAGGTGTTAATGGCTCCACTGTGAATGGCGGTCAGTGCTTGTCTGAAGTTAGTTGCATCCGAAGTCTGGTCGACGTGCTGTCTGATGTCGTCGACGTAGTCAAGGAAGGAGGCTGCTCCGCTGCAAGCAGGCGTCTGCAGGGGTGGTTTCTGCGAAAACATCCCAGCAGAAACTGCTTGGAGAGGAGCTCATTATGTTCCTTAACCGGAAGCATACGGGCCTCGCTGTGTAGGTGTTCGATTGGGGACATCAAGAGGCACCCCGTGATAGTCCGGAGTGCAGTGTTCTGACAAGTCTGGAGCTTCTTATTCTGCGTGTCACTACATCCAGGCGACCATATTGCGGCTGCATAATTGAGGACCGGCCGGCCGATTGCCTTGTATGTTGCCAACAACGTTTCTTTGTCCTTTCCCCATGAGCTGACGGCAAGTGACTTGAGGATTTTGTTGCGGCTCTGTACTTTGGCGGTTATCGCGGTCGTGTGAGGAGTGAAAGAGCACAGACTGTCCAAAGTGACGCCTAAAATTTTAGGGTTATTTACTGTCGGAATTTTTGTGCCATCGACTGAAATGTTCAGGTCCAGTCTGTACTCCTTCGTCCAATTGGTGAAGATGGTCGCTGTGGATTTAGTGGGGGAGAGTGTTAAGTTCCTTGCAGAAAAGAAGCGAGAAAGATCGGAGAGGTAGCCGTTTACTTTTGAACACATGCCATCGATTCCATTGCCCGACGTCAATATCGTACAGTCATCTGCGTACGAGGTCATTGAAATTCCCGCTGGTGGCTGGGGGAGTTTCGAAATGTAGAAATTAAACAGTAGCGGGGAGAGGACACCGCCCTGCGGAACCCCCTGTTTAATTTTCCTGAGTTTGGAGTTTTGACCTCGAAATAGTACGGATGAGTGTCGACCGCTCAGGTAGTTCATGGTCCACCGCTTCAACCCTGGAGGGAGCGTTGATTGTTCCAGGTCCTCAAGTAGCGTTGCATGATTGACTGTGTCAAAAGCTTTTGACAAGTCCAACGCTACGAGGATCGTCCTCTCGCAGGGTGGCTTCTGGTTCAGGCCATGAACTATCTGGGCGTTTATGACGCTAAGTGCTGTGGTGGTACTGTGCACTTTACGGAAACCATGCTGATGGTCTGCTAGGCTCAGGTGGTGGGTGAATGACGGGAGTAACAAGGCCTCAAGTGTCTTCACTACTGGGGAAAGGAGAGTTATCGGGCGATAAGACTCCCCTTTGTTGGCGGGTTTCCCAGGTTTCAGTAGTGGGACCACTCTTCCGACTTTCCACACATCGGGTATTTGAAGAGTGGATATCGACAGGTTGAGGACCTTGGGGAGGTAGTTTACTCCCGTTGGGCCTAGATGTTTTAACATCAGCATGTTTATTCCGTCAGGGCCGATGGATTTGGACGATTTCGCCTTTTTGATGACATTCTGAACCTCCTCATCGGTGAAAGTAAGTGGTGCGCAGTCTTTTGGCATTTTGCGCAACCGTCGGGTAACACATCGTTTGGCCTTGTCGGTCGAAGGGTGCAGTATAAACTGCCGGCTAAAGTAGCTCGCGCACTTCTTCGGGTCCGAGGAGGCATGGCCATCGAATTGGATTTCAACCCGATCGTCATGTTTCCTCGGATTTGACAGGGCCTTGACAGTAGTCCAAAGCTTACTCACACCGGTGGAGAGGTTGCAGGACTTCAGGTGCTCTATCCATTTTGTCCGCTTATGATGGTTTACCATTTGCCGAATCTCCAAATTGAGATCCCTTATTCGGGGATCACAGGGATCGGCATGGCGTAAGGTGTCGCGCTCATTTGCTAATACAGCTGCTTCGGCTGGGAAATTAGGGCGGAGTTCCGCTATTCTTCCAGCCGGTATGAAGCGAGCTGTAGCAGCAGCGATCACCTTGCGGAATTGACGCTCGCCAACGATGACGTCCGTAGGAATGGATAGTGCGTTGAAGGTGCTCTCAGTAAATTCTGTGAAGCCGACCCAGTTAGCTTTGTTAAAGTTAACATAGGTGCGGTTATCCACAGAAATAAAGTCAGGAGGTTTCTCGATCGAGATAATTATGGGCAGATGGTCTGATGCAAGAGTTAGCATAGGTCGCCAGGTTATACTATTTATCAGACCACCGCTAGCGATGGTAATATCTGGCGAGCTATTACAGGTGCCCATAATTCTGGTGGGGGCTTCGTCATTCATTGTGCAGAATGTCGAATCGTCTATCTGTTCCGCCAGCTCCATCCCCCTACGATCGTTTGATAGGCAGGAATGCCAAAGATCGTGATGCGCGTTAAAGTCGCCTAGCACCAGACGGTTTTCACCACGAATTGCGCATCTATATTCGGGTGATATCCTGTTGGGCAACATGTAACTGGGGGGATGTATATATTAAATATTTTGAGCTCGACATCGCCTGACCGGACAGCTATTCCCTGACATTCTAGGGTAGTGTCCCTGCGGTCGATGTCAACATCGATTAGACGATATTGCACGGTGTTGTGCAATATGAAGGCTAGGCCTCCACCATTATCTCGCTCGCGATCCTTACGTAAAACGTTGAAACCTGCACAACTCAGAAGATCTGAGCGGCTGTTTAACTTGGTTTCTTGGACCGCAGCTATCGTTACGCGCTCCCGGCTCATAAATGCAACTATCTCCTCGATCTTGCTCTGGAGTCCGTTGCAGTTAAATTGTAAGAGTCGCGTTTGTCGCGGGTGTCCAGTCGTGATCCTGGGGGTGAGTGGGGTGCGTGTAGGTGGTGGTTGTTGCAGCTGTGCTATCCGCATGGGCGGTTGTCGCACTATGGTGTTGGTTGGCGACGCCACTGTTTGTGATTGCGGGGGCAGACTCCCACAGCATGGGGCAACATACGACGCACTCCACTCTCGTGTGGTGCGCAGGCCAGAACACGACAGAAAGTGACACCAGCCAGTACAGGAATTGCACTTGACTGATGTGACATTCCGGCGTATTATGGTCTGACACACGGAACAGACTGTGCGAGGAACCAGGAGTTGCTGTGTGGTTCTCGCACGGGGATTGGAGCTGGATGAAGGTGGGGGGGGGGAGGTTGGTCAGATTGGGAGTTGTGCTGTCTTTGTGAGCTCCT